AACTACGATAACCAAAGTGTTTTAACTTATTATAACATACTAGCTGTTTTTCCATGACTTGAAATTATGCCTCTGTCACGCGCGTATAATGTAGCTGTAGGAATCAACGGTAAAGGTAGGTGAAAGAATTAGATGGAATTAAAGGAGCCTATTCGATTCGATTCGTAGTTAAGATATAACAACTCTAAGCTAAGAAAATTGATATTTTAGCTAAGATCCCAAATTAGGTAGCTTGTAGTATGAAAATCTGAACTCAGGCCAGAGATAAAATAAACAGTACGTTTTCAACATTGATCAAACCTGTAATCGAAACCGGGACCTTGGAGAAGTCGAACCTTTAAAAACGGCGTACGAGCCGCTCGACCAAGGATGTTCATATTATAGAATTAAATTATTTTAATTAGAATGTAATATTTCGGACACTAAATACGCCTAAATCTATACTAATAGTATAAAGAAGTAAAGTTTCTAATTTTATTTACCTAATACTTATCTTGGAAAATACTGATCAGATTATGAAAATTCTTTCACCTACGGAAAGCTAAATCATATGCGAATGCTACAGGCTATAATTTACGCAGGCGATGTCGGGACAAAACAGCTAGTATAAAATGCTATTATTGATATAAATTGTTATAAAAAAAAACATTATGTGTATAAGAAAACAATAGACAAAAAGAGATTTCATTATTAGGTCGTAAGATTGTTTTAATTCATGTTTCATTATTTAAATGCCATTAAATAACGATAACTTAATTCGTTAAATGGTCAACTTTAACGTCAGAGGTAAAACCCGCTAATAGCAAGCAAGCTACAAGCGTTTATAAATATATCTCGAATGCAAAGTGGAATGCATATGACCGATTCTATTTTGGGTATTAAACTACTCAGATTTTTAATATTGGTGATGAATTTTAACTGCAGTCCGTCAATTTTTTTTTTATTTGATTACCTTTGTTAATCTTTTTGTAAATTACTTTGATAACTTCATAAAAACAGCAGGAAGATAGATTACCTAAACAAATGCTTTAAAAAAAGTCTTACTGAGACTTTTCGCGTAAACTTCAAATGGGTTTGTAAAATAACGTCCAAACAAATTATTAATTACGGTTTATTTGGACGTCTTGAAATATTGATTAAAGATTTTATATTTTATTTGGGGGTCCCGTGCAATTGAAAGTCTCGCTATGGCCTGACGAATAGATAATTTTTATCGTAAATCTTAAAAAATGCAAGAAATAAAATAAGTCACGCTTCGTACCATTATTTTGTTGTTAAGCCCATGAAGTTTAACATATTGGTTATACCTCAGAAACAAGAAGGTGCGTGTTTCTGAACTGTTATATTGGCGGTTACTTTTTACAACGAAATGTTATAAATTAACAATAGTATGTTTGTAAAAAATTAATTAAGGGTCCACATAATTTGCTATAGGACCCTCTCTGGCTTAATCCGAGACTGATTTGACTACCACACTACCCCCTGCCGCCTGTCAAACAGCGGAGCCAGTGCATAAAGCATTCCCCTTTGATAAAAAATAAGATTAACGAAAGGTAATAAGCAGTGCTATTCTGTTAAAAAAAAGTAACGAACGCATCACTTTCATAACATTAGAGGTTCACATAAAACAGATTTCAAAAGATAATCCAGGTTTAATTCCAATGAACTTTTAATGTTGATACAAGGCTGTATTTTTTCAGAATACCAAAACAATTCAAATCAAAAAACTGCTTTGGCTATAATCGCCATCAACTCATCCTTATGTTTTATTGTTTAGGTATAAATTACGTTTTAAGTACCTAACTGCAGTCGACTTGTTATTTTAATTTCAAATAGCCGTATATTATATTTGGTGCCAAACTAGAACCTTATATAAGCTTCATGGCGTTGTACTGTTAGATAAACATGACCATTGTGCAACTAGCTTACCTCGGGGTTAATAACCTTCCAATATCATAGGGCTTTCAAGTAAAGAAGATTACAATACTGTTACACATTAAAATACAATACCTAAAAAAAAAGAAAAAATACACGTTTTTATAAAATATATCACGATTTAATAACTTTGACGACATGAATATGTCGTGTTTGTGATTTGTTATTTTTTCTTTCACTTTTTGTTATAAAACAAAACCGCTACTGCCCTGCCATTTTGTAAAAATCCAAACCTGAATCAGAATTCACTCAAGTGTCCGGATTCACTTCAAAAAGCGGCATCAGCTCAATCTTGATTTGGTGATAACGTTTCGTGGCGTAAGTGAAGTTAGTTTCGAAATGACATAGAAATAAAATATCTGAGACACTTATAATCAACCGATTTTATTTTTTATTTTTATACAAAAAAATAGAATAAATAGAATTTCTACACTAAATAACAAAAATTCGGACACATGAGTGAATTCGTATTTGGGTTCGTATTTTTACAGATTCGCCCTACCAATTAACTTTCGAAATTTAGAAAAATCTGTCTATATAATTACGGAGAAATCGTTGTACATGTATAAAAAAAACAACCATTGAACATACGACCTTCTTATTTTGATTTTTAAGTGGATTACAAACCACTTAGTGCGCAGTCCTAACATTGACGACCTCCATAGTCAAGTTCTAACGCTTAAAGGTTTCGTAATCCCCGAGGTCCCCGAAGGTGTTCAAGTCAATATAGAAAATGATACTTTCTATATTGTCTCGAGTCTGAAACCCTGCTCTGTATTTCTTGATCTGAATAACGAATTTCTTCTATGTCTCCGAAGAAACGCATTTCTCGATACTGACGCACAGATAATCTTTACGTATATTTGTTTGACAAAATTATAAGAACGATTCGATGTAAAATGAAAGGTAGCTAGGAAACAAAGAATGACTAGTACCCATTGTCAATAAAGAACGCATAGCGTAACTAAGAAATGCCTAATTTTAAGAATATTAATTTTCAGCAGATTTGTTTATGTCCCAATGAACAAATTGTTTTTCACAACAACTCTTAAATACCTAACCTTTGGCGATTCCTAAATATATAGGAGAGTCGTATCTTAAGTAAAAACAAACATATTCAGCCCTTGACCTATGTTTCATTCCATCCGAGGCAGAGCCTTGATAGTGCACCTTTCCAACAAACCGCTCAACAAAGGCAGATTTTATATTTCCATTTCTACAGGGTATATTTTTATTTTAGGCACATTTAATTTAGGCACTTTGATAACATCCGTCTCAGTGAAGTTTGAATGTTAAGACATTTTTATAAAGCTTATATTCATTATTATATCTTCTGTTTAGCGCACAGGAAACGCCGAAACTGTGGCGAGAGGTCAGAGTCATCTTAATCACTAAACCAGGTAAAAAAGGCTAAAGTAAAGCTAAGTCTTACAAACCTTTAGGTCTCTCTTCGTTTCTTTTAAAAACGCTCGAGCAACTGTGCGACGACAAGAGGAATCTAGGAAATCTCCGAGGCTCTTTGGAGACACACTGAGTCGTCCGATGAGGTAAGATACTTGGGGTTCACTTTAGATTCTAAATTAAATTGGGAGGCACGCTTAGACAATGTTATGAGTGAGGCATGCATTATCTACTGGCAATGCCTGAGAATGCTAGGTAAGAACTCGGATATGACTCCATACATAACTATTATAAAAGGCTACACACGACTGTATTAAGGCCCATCATTAGCTATACGGCGATAGTATGGTGGACCAAAACAACACAACAAAGAACAAACTGAAGTCTTTCAAGGACGAATCTGTCGTACGATATCTGGTAATATGAAGACTACTCACACGGCAGCACTAGAGACCATTCTGAACGTAAGACCCTTACATCTATACATACAACAGGAAGCAGCATATGCCGCCACACGATTGCAGACGCTAACTTGTGGAAAGAGCACAATACACCACACATGGACATAATGAAAGACATCGATGCTGAGTACCCGTTCTTCAAGGCAGTAAATGACCAAATTCCTAAACGGCACGTATTTGACAAAAATTCAAAATACAACTACGCGAGGATGCACCAGACAAATGTCTACATAAGGAGCTCAGCATTTTCACAGATGGCTCCAAAACTAAGACAAGAACGGCAGTACATTACCAACGGAGTAGAGCCATTCTCCGAGGACCTTAACATAAATGTCACAGTAGCACTGGAGACCCATACCACAGTCTTCCAAGCTAAGTGCGTGGGTATCATCAGGGCTGCCGAAGCTATACTGAGTCGCGCTGTCAAAGGTAAAACCGTCTGCATACTCTCGGACAGGGCATCAGTTGTTCAAGCGCTGGACAACAACATAACGATATCGGGTGTAGCAACACTGTAAAATAACAGAGGTAAGTAAGGACAATGACTTGACACTACAATGGATAAAAGGTCATGGATCCAGAGGTAATGACGCGGTCAACTGCTTGGCCAGAAGGGGCTCGGAAACCATAATCTTTAGACCGGAACCGTTAGTACCTATTCCATAAAGTTTACTGAGAGGTTGAATACGGGAATGTTACTAACGCAAACATGTCGAAGAATGGTCTAGACTTACAGACTGCCGACAAGCCAGGGAAGCAATTTTTAAGGTCGGCTTGTTACTATCAGTAAGTTATGCAAACTAACTAGACACATCCTGAGACTAATTGTGAGAATTCTCACGGGACATAGTAATTTTAACAAACACCTTTATAACCTGGGCATCTATGACAGTCCACTGCGCAGTGCCTGCCTGGAGGAGGAGGAGACGTACTGCAGAGGTGTGACGAGACAACGGATTGCACACCTGAGCAGCACAAAGATACTACTAGACACATGCAAATACATCAAGAAAATACAATATTTCTCAGAGGAACTGTGATGGCAGGACTAAGGCCTCCACTATTTACACGCAAAATAGGCACTAAGTGTCGAGTTGCGGAAAACACTCGTCGACAAGAGGAAGAAGAAGAAAACGTGGGCAGTGTCACGGCATGCAGGATAAAAAATATAGGCAACTTCTTTCATTTTTATCATTATCACACTTACATGGGACATATCTGAAGGCGTGTTAGCGATTCTTCTTTCCCGAGTAACAACAAAGAATTATAAACAGCAGCTGCTCCAACGACCGATGGGCATTCGCTGCACAGACTCGTGTCCACCATTAGACCACACATGCAGAGGAAGGTGGCTGCCACCTCTATTTCCCCAGGATGACACTGGTCGCACCACCATGAGAAGTAGCCAATAAATTCTTGGGCTACAACTGGTTGTGATGGAAATTTCTGTAAAAAAGTGACTGCGGTTAATTCAAACACTTATGTAGCTGAAACACTACATATTCAGTTCATAAATCTATAGCGGTAGACCTCATATAGAGAAAAATCGACTAAATACAGAGAAAGAACCATTTTGGACCCTACTCTAGGAACCCTTGTTATATGTCTATCAATATATAAAATAGTATATATAAAAAGTGCTTAATTTATTTATATAGCTACAGATTACAAAGACATTCATAAAACGTAAGTACATCGGGCACTTGGTTGATTTCTTCTCCTTGTTTAATTTCAAACAATGAAATGCAATGGAAAAATAGACTCTATTTTTTAGACCGAAGTCTATGAACCTGTACCTAAATAAAACAAAAAGTAATTCATACGTACCTACATTTATAATTTCCTAAGTATACTGACTTCTGGTTGTTTACGATCACCTTTGCACTTTAATACCTTTACCCAGTTGCACAAAAGGTAGTTAAAATGTCATCGATTAAAAGGAATATAGCCGTTAAAAATTTTCAAAAAAACATTATTAAGTGCTTAAAGTCTTCATTAACTTAAAGACCGTTGGTGCAATTGAGTTTAAGACACTATCAGGCAGTTGCACAATCGTCCAATAAAATTTTCATTTGTTTAAAGCGACATTACTCATACAAATTTGACATTCATTAGAGCTTAAAGGCGCCATTAAACCTTAATGGACATTTGTGCAACTGACCGTAAATCATTTACTATTTAGCTGTATTTCTTACGAGTTTTAGTAGTACTGCTTTCTCTGCACGTAGAAGTTTATCAACTGTGAAGGCGTGGTCGGAACACCTAACAAGTTTCGAGACGCAGACACCGGGACCATGTAGCTTGCGTGCGATCCAGTAGCAGGCGGCGGCGATCAGTTGCAGATGGGTCACTTGCACTAGACCTGTGGCCAGCACTGAGTCTAAATACCAGACGGCTGTTTGAATAACAGCTGGATTTCCATCGGCACCCTGAGAGAACAACTTGTACAATATGATATAAAATACCTATACATATATTTCGAAGAAAAGGTATGTTACTAAATTGTAAGATATATTTTCCTTTCATATGAAATCTCCATTCGAACTGCGATTTCGAGTCACATTCTGCTACAAATGTTATTATGTTTCGCGGTGGTGAAAAAAGCGCTGACACAGCATAGAAATTTGAAAAAATAAAACCTACTTCAAAGGGTAATTCATTAATGTTCCATGAATGACGGTAAGTATATAGCTAAAATGGACTCTGTTACCTATCGGACACATTGACAGCAAATAACAAATTCTCAGATACATATTAAACTAAAGACATTAAAACATGGTCAATCGTCAAGAGCTTCTGTGACTACGATGGTACCACAACACCCAGACCCGAGATAATATACAAAAGTTGTTTATTTTCAACATTGACCCGACCAATCGAACCCGGGACTTCAGAAATGGCGACTCATTGAAACTGATGTGTGAACCATTAGGTTTCAGAGAATATCTATTTATTCTGTTTAAAAGAACAAAATACTTACGTTAACTTTCATGAGCCAATTGATGACGCAGGCCCTGGTGATGCTGTGAATCTTTGGAGTAACTGATTTCTGTTCAATACTTAGTAGGTAGTTGAATGTGTCTAGTGCATAGTCTCGGACGTGGCATGTCATATAGGATCTCTTCACTGATCAGGAGAATAAAACATTAGCAAAAAAAATATTATTATCTTATTCATAATCGATACTACAACTTCTACTGCTCCTTTTTTTTAGTTCTAAACATTTACTTTACCATAATAAGTTCAAAAGAAAATCGTAATACCCAAGAGTGAATACCAAGAAGAAGTCGTGTAGGAAACTGGATATTGCACTTCTGATATGGTGAATCAAACAAAGTGTATTTGTTTGATTTGGGGTTTAAATTAATAAAATATCCGACAATTTTTTTTTTTTATTAGCTTTAGAATTATTAAACTGGTTAACTTTTATGTAGAACGTTTGAAGTTTTATTTTGTATAATATAGAAAATAAACAATACCTAAAATATAATGACATTGGTGTTAATTCTTTTATCTAATCTCTCTAAACAAAAAATAAATAGTTTCATTTGGGGGTCGCTTTAACGCTGTATATAACATATATGTCCCAGCCAACTGGTTAAGTCAGCCGTCCAATTGGGCAGCTAGCCCTTTAATTAAACAGCGCCATTCAATTGCAGGCCTAGAAGTCATTTAGTTTTTGGGTCTTAAATTTTTAACATATTATGTGACTTACAGGGCCAAAATAACTTTGTTTATTCTAAAAATATTTGTTATCTATCTGTTAAAAAAAGACCTCGAAATTTAAGACGAACGATGGCGCAATTCAATTAAAGGGCTAGCTGCCCTATTAGACGGCTGATTTAATCATTTGGCTGCAAAATATACTCATCTCCTGTAACTATTATTTAACAAGTATATTTCTTTTACTTAATTATTTCACAATTTAAAACGCAGTTGGACAGGGACAAACTTAAATTTAGTCTGGTTTGTACAGTAGAAATGCTAACAATATCTAACACAGCTTAAAAACAAGAATAGAATATAAATTTAACATTACAAACAAAATTTATTTACCAGTCATCTAAAGGCTTCACCATTTGGCATAAAATATTTTTAAACAGCAAGTTCTTCAATGGCAATTGATTTATAATATGAGACTTCATAATTATACATTACCTCCAAGAAAATAAACCAACAATTATTTTTGTATACATAAAATCACATCACATCGGCGACTTCCTACGAAACGAATTGGTAGCATTATTATAACTTATTTCTTAATTTCACTTCAAAATGGTACGTCAGTCCGTCCAAACTTGAAACCACTTTGTGTATGCCTCTATGAACGTAAAACGGTTGTATTTAACCAAATTTATTCCGTACTCAAGTGGGTTACGATATATCCACCAAATAAATAATTGTTACTGACACAGAATTAATTACTAACAAACTATTTGCCTAATCGGTGGATATATTATTCGAAAACTTATCTCATATATGAGTTGAGGAGATTGCTCAATACAAAAACTCTCATATATAAGTCTGATGATTACTTAACTTAAGACATCGGCTATTGTATTCGGTTAGAGTTCATTTGAAATAACAATGTATAATCATATATAGGTATAAATGAATTCTCTAAAACTGTTAAAACTTTTATTTTTTATTCACAACCGACTTATGATTGAAGAACTGGCTAATAACATTATTTGTTATAAATATAAGAATAATATATCTAGGAATTATTGAAATGATAGTAATCCAGTAATGCTACAATAAAAAGATGCACTAATTTATCTTGTATAAATTCATAAAATTTCAAAATCTATATCTAAATATATGTAGTATAATTAGTATAAAAAAGTATAAAAAAATATATATATAGTATAAAAAAGACAAATAAAAAATGAGCCTTATTGCATTTTTTAAATATTTTTAAATGCATAGGAAAAGTTAAGAAAATACTATACTTATTAACTTAACTACTTATCAACATAATACGTGTAAATCAGCTATTTTATAATTAAGACACTCAAATTAATTTAACTACTTATAAATGAAACAACATTTAAACGGTTAATTACTAGAATGATATGATAGGCTATTGAAATTAAAAAACACGAATTTTAATAGAGATGAAGATTGGAATATACATACCACCGACTTGAGACCTAATAATTAGTCAATTAAAATCTCAATACAGATCACATATTGCAATACCAAAAGATACAGTTAGTTCATTCTGTAAATATTAAATCAAAAAGGGAACAATTAACATTTCTTGTTGAAGTTTATTTATTTCACCAGTTCTTCTCAGAAATTAGAAACTGGTAGCTAGCTGCTAGTTTACTGTAGCCAGGGGTAAATAAATAAGTCAAATGTATTTTTAGAATAAACGTAAACGTTTCAATAAATTGTAAATGTGTCCAATAGTATTTTTTTGAATGTAGCTATAATCTTATATAAAATAATTTAAAGATAAACAAAAAACACGACTGCGTAAAAACGAATTTTAAAAAATACATGAAAATTTTCGAGTAAATCAAATAAAAACTAAAAAGAAAGAAACAAGCCCAATAGTTTAAAATTCTGTTAAGTAATACAAAATAACAACATAATTGAAATAGTTTTATAATCGTTACACACACAAAATAAATCATAAATTCTAATAATAATAATAATAATTTATTTCAGATTCTGCATCCATATGGTGTTAGTAACAATTAGACTTAATTCTACCGTTAGTAAAAATAATAATTTAATTTAATTAATTAATATTTCATTTAACAATTCAATTTAATTTAATAATTTTATTTATTTCAATTTTAAATTCTAATGCAGAACAGGACGTCTCATAGTCGGGGCCCCTTGGGAAGATTTGATTGGTAAAATTTTAATGGGCCCCGACTGTATTTTTATACGTTTAGTTACGATTCGTTATAAAATGGTAAATTTCGCAATCTAGTCATTTCATAAAGCATATAAACAGCCTGTAGCAATTCTCCGGGTTCCAATTGGTCACTCCGAAGAGCTGGCCACTCAATTGCCCTTATAACACCCATTGCTCCGTTAACAAGGCCATGGGTAACATTTAAAATATTTGTTCTTCATGCTTTTTCATTGGTTTTTTTGTTTGTGTATCGTTTATGCTTTAAATAAAAACTTAAATCAATAAATAAAAAAATTAGCGAGAATGATTGTTTTTTTAAACAACTTTAAATCGTAATATATACTACACTATTATTTAAAATAAAACATAATAAAAGGAACCTAAAGATGATCTTAAAATACCTATTCAACGACACCCCATATGACATAGTTCATCGATTTTTTTTTTTCATTTTGACAATATGGCGTCTGGTTCTCGTTGTAGTGAATTTTGATTACTGTCATGTCAGTTAGTGACACTCGAAAGGTTAAGACGAATTGATTGACGTAAGAATCATCAAAATCGGCCTACTATTTAGCCTCTAGAACGCCACATTGAAACAAACATACATACATAGACTGATAAACACATTACCCTCCTTTGCGTCGAGCAGTCGGGTAAAAAGACATTCAACACCTTAGTCTTATGTGAACACAGAACCTGTAAAGGATCCGAACGTCAATAAAAGAATAATACAAATGCTAAGAACCGTTTTAAAGTTGATTCATTTATGGATAATATCTCGTGAAAATATAAGAAATCAACAACTCCTAATAACTTAATTAGTGTAAACCAGTCATTAGACGAACTATTCCCGGATCTAGTACAGTGTATACGACCTAACGATTTAAAAAGTTTATTATATATATTCACAATAATTAATATTATTAATTTAAATTATTTAATACTGTACACCAAAAGCATGTTGTTTGGTTACATAATATAACTTGAATGTTATTACCTTATTATCGATACGTTTCAAATTTTGTTTGATGTATAAATCATAATAATAAAAATAATACTTTTAATGATATTTAGATTCTTCAAGTCAAAATAATGTTTTCAGTTTTTCCTTAATATGAAAACGATACTTAAATAATAAGTCGCAAATTACAGCGGCATTCCGACGCTAACCAAAAAACATTTATACCGATCCAAAAATATTTGATGCCAATTGCCAATATTGTCCAAATATTAGTACCGGATTGGTTAAATTAGAATTAAAGTAATATTTATAAAATTTTACTTCAATTTTACTATTCCGATAGAAGCTTTCAAAAAGTTCCTATACATAAAACTACTCAAAACCAAGTAAAATTATTTATTCAAACAGAATGAGGGTAAAACCTAAACCCATAATAAATTGAGAACCATTGAAACGAACATAGTGTTATTATAATAGAATATTACAACGTACTTACAAAAGTCAGGGGACATTAACCTCTCGTTTAAGGGTTCACAAGAATGTAATTTTTGCCTTTTCTTCTCCTGAGTTTTCCTTTGCTCTTTGTCTAATGGGGACAAACCTTGCAACTCCCTACTATGTGGCCTTTTCAAACTCCTTTTCAGATTTTTCACTCTGTTCGGTTCTAAAGATTTAAGAACCGGTGTTACTGCATCTTTAGTTTCACCGAGACAACTCTTTTGTTTGTTCGAAACAATAAACTTATATTCGTCCTTTTTGCTATTATCTTCATCGTCACTTATTATAATAACGTTATCATCTTCCGCTACGCAATCTTTGAAAACTTTAAAATCCCAGTCCAATACTTCTGCTTTAGCTCTACGTGTTACATGTCTAGTATCAACTCGTATTTTAGGTCTTACGTCAACTTGTTTGTGTAAATTACTAGGACCAGGTAACGCCAAATTTTGCTGTGACTTCAGAGTCTTTAAAGGATATCTCTCGGTCATAGCTTTTGGTTCCTTTTTATTCTCTACTAAATGTTTTGGCAACGCAGGCAGAGGATCGACTGGCAATGGAATCCTTGTTCTTAGCTTCAATTTATTTATATTTTCTTTATCAGCTTCCATTACCCTAACTGAAAATGACCACTTTTAAATAATTAACGTATTTTTAACAAGACCACGACCAGCGTGTTCTTCAAATTCAAAAATTATACTATGCATTTTTGTTGTCGATAAAGAATTTATCTAAAAAATACAACTACCCACATTAATCACCGTATTTAGAAACATATGATGTTCCATAATACGCTAGAAGAATATAACAAAAATAAAACAAACACTGTGCAATTAATAATTTAATAATCTTTCTACACTTTATCACAACTGCCATAGTAACAAATAAATAATACTTATTCTACAAAATTATTACTAACTTAACTTAAGCTGTGTACTTTTTTATTATCAAATGCATCTGGTTTTTTTTTTGAAGTATTAAAAATGTTTAACGAGTTGCTTTCACAGCTAAATAAAAAGAATGGCAATATTTAAATATAGAATGCTAGTATAAATTAATATCCAACACAGAATTTTTAATGACATTGCTTATGTCCTATTCACCCAATTCCAAAACTTCTTTATCAATGTATACAACGTGAAGTGACTCCATAATGCGAAACTTTAATGACCTTTTACTTCAGTTAAAATTTTTGGACAAATGGAAAAAACAGAATGTAAATCCGTCGTATTTGAAGAATCTAATATTCAAAAATTAAACGCAGTATTGAATCTAGTATCAATCATAAGAAAATAAGTCACCTGTCCTAAAACGTAATTCGAAACTTACAATAGGGATGATGACTGGGTAATAAAAATGTAATTATATTTAGTCCGTCAGTCAGATAATAGAAAAATATTAGATACGTATTTTTTTACTTCAATTTAACAAGAAATAGCTTAGATAACAGGCATTAAAGTTGAGGACTGGGGGCTCGCTACGTCACAGTTGAGTAGAAAACGTACCTTAACGTGACGTCATGCGAAATTTCAACTCCATGTAACGCCGTAATTTTATGATTACGAAAAAAATAAAAAATACGTTTTTAATATTTTTAAACACTCTACCTGACGGACAAACAAACAAAAATTAGTCATCATCCCTATTTACACTATTCATAATTTAAATTTCGAATGGCGTTGGCTGTTCTGGGTCTGTGATCTTGCCAGCAACAACGACGAGGTTATCCAAACAGTCGATGATGTAGAACAAGAAAGGATGCTCCACATTAAATCTTCTTGGTATCTTCGCGTTTAGAGGAAGATTCTTCAGCTCTTCCACTGCTTCGGCAACTGTAAAAATATAAATAAATATCGATAAACCTTATAAACACAGATTATTAGATAGATTAATAATTATAGCACTTTTATTATGGAGTATCTGAAAGATAGTACTAGAAGGCAGTTGAAAGTAGTTGTGTAATATATGACCACAAATTTTATATTTTTAATTATATCTAGAAAGATAGACCCTCAACATTTTCTATTTATTGTATTATAAAATTAGAACTATAATGAAAACCACTGTAGTCAGGTATAATTATGTACTCATTTATTTTTGATATTGTAAATATGTATTTACGATGACTTCATTTAGACGGCATATCGACACCAAAGTGCAAATACCTGAATGAGATTTCATTTTAAACGACAAAAAAAAATATATTTAAGAAAATACAACGCATGTCCGAACCAATGAACCAACTGAAGCATCCTCGCTTCTGTTGATTAGTTATCTTTCTTTAAATAAAATGTTATTAATATTACCCATTTAGCCCTTAAAACTTATTTATGGTACAAAGAGATCGTGGGATACTAAACGATCAGTTGACAGACTACTAAATCTAAATTAAAGGGGCATCGACCCGAGATTGGATACAAACAGCGCAAAATAGGACGAAGTCCTCTCATAAAAGTAATGTGTTATGCAGACGATATCCTCGTCAATGTACATTCCTAGATGCAAACACTTAGCAGAGGTCGTGGCGTAGATAATTATATGCCACATCATGAATAAAAAGACACACCACAAAGTAAATAGAAAAGACCCTTGTTAGATTCTTGGGCGAGTAATGTAGAAAATTAACTTTACTGTGTACGGTCTAGATGTTGTGGCATCATCGTTATCCCAAACACTCCATAATACGAGCGAGGGCTTTACCTACTCATATTGTAATCTAAGGAACGTATGTGATGTTATCTTGTATCTAAAGTACAACTGCACAACAAATGATGTCATACAATTAGGTAGTGAAAATTAAAGGAGGCTAACACTTAACTAGTAGAAGAACACTTGAGACGAGATGATAATGATTAAAATTGCTATAATGTTATTGATCACAAACTACTGTTTGTTTGTATAGTTTACCTGCCAACTGGTTAGCGGAGGAGTCAGCGTTGTCAACGCGTACGGCCACGTGTTGCACCAGTTCCTGCACGAACAGACCTTCATTTGACGAAACACCAGATAGTTCCGCCTCACGACTGAAGATACTGCTTACGCCAAACTGAAATAATACTCAATCATATCAATACCTTTTCTAATTCTACGACGCCCACCGATCCTGGTGGGCGAAAAGGCGAAATGTGCATGTACAACTATTTTAGGGAGAAATTTTAGGGGTATACTTGTGATTTATTCCATTGCGATTTTTTGTAACTAACGTTTGATTGTGACACAACCTTCGAAAGTATGATGTACTTTACAAAACCAATTTAGAAATGGCCGCTTTTGTATTTTTATTCTATCTACTGAAAATCACACATGGTTAGTGTTGTCTTCCTCACAAATCGATGGATACAGACATATTTATAATTTTGTAATCTGGTATCTAAAGTTGCGACTGAAATGCTATGAAATGCTATACACTGGTGTCGAATTTCAGAAACAAGAAGGAGAAGAAGATACCTTGGCGAGTGCGGCGACGGGCTTGGTGGTGGTCTCGACGTAGAAGGTGGGCAGAGCGAGCTGCAGCTCCTCCTCCTGCAGGTGGTCGCCGACGCGCGTCACATGCGCGCCGCCCAGCTCCGCCGACAGACGCTGCAGCCCGTCACGGGAACGAGGCACCATCACCACTAGTGCATAACGCCCGCCCTAATGCAGACGAACAATTATAATCACCACATTGAATCAATTTTGAATTCAAATAATTTGGAACCTTTAACTTGTATTATTTTGAGCATTTAACAAATATAAATAACAATTAAAACACATTTTCATCTGAATCGAAAATTACAAAAATATTTATCTCGGTTGTTTAGGTAAATTGCTGAAAATACGCTCACCAGTAGCAAAAGTAATAAACGCATTAGTGTTTGATTTGCCCGGAGCAATCTTGTGCGCAGATTGCGAAAGGTTATTTAATACTATGTAACTATATAAATGAAATATACTAAATTCGACTTTATGTAATAAGATAGTCGACTAGACACAAGTTTATAATACGATGTTATATTATAAAAATTAACATAACGTCATTCTTGATAATAAGGAAAATCCTGATCAATAGCAATAATGCAGAAAACAAGTAGCAATCCTACATTGAACAAGTTAGCCCAGCAAAGGCCTTGCTAATAAAAAGAACCGTATATTTTATTATTTGAAAATATACGGTTCTATTTATAAGCATACAATCCCCAAAAGGTAATTTCTAGATTTTGAATGCAAGGACCTTATTTAATAGTGTTAGTATTTGATAAATAACTTTTTTTTAAGAAAATCGCTGATAAACAATATTATCAAAGTAATATTGAACGTTTTAGATTTCAGAATCTATAATCTAAAACGTTAACTCATATATAAAAATACAAAAAGGTCTACTCACTTCATAGGGAATTTGAATAGCTTCGCTGTCTAATCCAGGTAGGTAACCAGTTTTGAAACTACCAATGGTCTTCATCATGGGCACTTGTTTTTTCTCCTTACTAGATTTGTAGAATACTCCAGGTTCCACTACATCAAATGGCTTCTTCCAAGATCCACGGAAATACATTCCGTTGAAAATTATCATAAGAGAATTTGAAGGCTCTAAAAATAATAAACCAATCCTATAATAAAAAATCTACATCCATGTTTATAATGTATTTTAAAAATTATTTTAATGTTAAAATTAATACATAGTAGAAAAACAAATTTTGAATATGTGATTATGAATTTTTAAATTAATTTATGAACTTACTTTTGCTAGATTTCCTGCCAACACTATTTACTGAAATACTCGATGTTATGTCATTCTTATCTTGCAAAACCTTCAAGCTTCTAGCATGGTTTCTAGCTTCTACAGCAACCATAGTCTCTTCTTCATCTCCTGATTCTTCTTTTTTGGAATCATATTTAACTAGTTTAATTTTTTCTTTAATATTTTTCGCCGGTTTGTATTCAATATGTGTAATATCGATTTTGTCAGGCTTATCATCAACAGCGAATGATATAAGTTTTTCATCACTTTCTTTGGGTGGCATTAGTTCAGGAATATCATCATTCTTAACAACATCTTGTTGCTTATCCGGCAAATCAATAACGAATTCACTATTCTCATCATTTTCTAATGGTTTATTAAATTCATGATCTGGATAATACCTCTCAACTGATCTCACTTCAGTTAAATAATAGTCTTCTAGAATCTTTTTGTAATCTTCATTGATAGTATAATTTTTATAAATGTAAAAGTAATTCTTTAATTCAGGTTGATTGTATTTATATTCGTGTGTATTTTTTAGTCTTTCCATGATGAAACGATATGTTTTCCGCGTCAGATTCTGATCTTTAGGAAGGTGAAGAGCTGTAACAAGCTGTTCTCTCGTCTCGCCGGTAGCACCTTCAGCAAGAATAGCGAGAATGGCAGAGTAGCCTAAAGGAGAGAAGGCAATGTTCTTATCGTCATCTATATATCCCTGAAAATTGATGATGGTATATTTTAAAATACATATTCAAATTAGTTCGTGACTATTTAGAAAGCGTTTGCATTGAGAAAGTTAATACAAGTGTGGGGGCAGCTAGTTTCACTCCTAACGTGCGACTTTCTCTAGCCATTTGTTTCCGAGCATCGACATTTTCAATAGTAGGGAATTATTATAGATCTTATAATATAACGTGGTAGAAGTTTACGAATTATTTATAATTATTAACTGAGGGCTTTATTAAAATGGTTTTTAACTTTCTCTAACAATCAACTTAACACAAATGTTATAGAACATCGTGAATAACACCTGATTAAAATATAATCATCATTAGTCATCATCATCATCATCAGCCCTGTTACTTCCCCACTGCAGGGGCTCAGGCCTTCCTTATGGATGGTTAAGGAGGATGGGCCATGACCCTCCACGCTGGCCCAATGCGGATTGGAGGGTATTAACGACTACAAATACAGCCGGAACCAACGGCTTGACGTGCTTTCCGAAGCACGGAGTAGCTCGATATAATATTTTTGGTCACCCATCTCGTGACCGACCCTAGCAAAAGTTGCTTAACGACAACGATCGCGGGCCGCGGCGCTTATCCGCTACGCCACCGAGCGATCATCATTAGTATATCATCATAATCATTAGTTGTGTCAACTAAAAATGGATTATGTTATCGCTAAAAATTTTTGGCGACAAAGATCATTACACCATTAAACTAATGATGGTGAAATAATGTGATAATGCAATTCACGTGGATATCAGGCCAAAGTTTTTAAATGCTAATAAAAATTAATCAACAGATCAAGTACCTGAAATATAGCTGTAGCAAGTTCATTTGTGGCATCTCCAACAAAACTCGTTTCCCTGGGCTGCTGAGACCGACCTCGTCTCACCCATCGGGCGTTGCTCAGCCCCACCACTAAACATAGTACTGAAAAAAAAAAAACGTTTATAACATACGTTTATAAGTTAGTCTGAGAAACTATTTTATCTAATAAATAATATTATACATTTCACCGCAAACTTGTAAATATCGTCAGTTTATAATAAGGTCTTGTTAGATTATAAACTATCGTAGGTAAAGGTTATAATTCTAGTAGCTGAAGATACTTGTAATTTTGACGATGAATTTATATAAGTTTCATTAAACCCATTTGCTAAGCGTAGCTTAGATATTGTCACCTAAGGGTCGGTGAATATTTGACGGAAGATCCGTTGTGCATTATCCATTGCGGAATGTCAGAACTGACATAGTATAATATGACATGTTGACATATAATATGGATGATTCGACAATCCGTAGAATATACTATCGCATATTTCATTGCTCCTCTCTACTTCAGTTAGATTTGCATTAACCAACTCCAAAGCTTTATTAGTTTGGAGTTGGTCTTTAGTTATATACAACTTAATCCCATCGAGTCCTATGTCCTAACATAATCGCCGCTCATAACAATTTAACTGGCCCAGTATCGATTAGACTGGATCTCTTATATCGATTGGGAGTAGGTCGCAGTGTAGCGGTACCGATGCATTCATGTAACTGTGCTTTTGCAGGATATTAGTTCTAACAGCTACCATACACGCTACCATCGCATTACTTCATAAATACATATTCTCTGGAGACTTTTAACCTTTCCTTTTTAACTAAAAAATCATTTAATTTATGACTTTATACCAGAAAAGAATAGTATTGTTTTTACTATTTGCTTCTCAATTTTCTTTTGTTTCTCGCCATAGCAACTTCTCTCAAATTTAAATAATATTTTTTTAAAAATGATAAAAGGATTTTTTAAATTTTCGCATTTTCGATTAAAATATAATTTAATTTTAACTTTTTTATACAGACTTGTACTTCCAACACAAGTTACTTTAAGTAGTTGTCAGACGGTTCATTATTTATATCAGATTACAGCATTCCTGGTTCAATTAATGAATATATGTGAAAAAAAACAAAATAAAGACCTTGCTGCGTTTCTCGCATTTTTATTATTCCAAGATTTTGGAGTAATTTGGGGGCGGGCGGATAAAGTAGTTTTTTGACGTTTAAAAAAAGTTTTTAAACATCGAAAAAAGAAATTCCTACAGGGCTTACTGGTAAATCTGTCGCAAAAAACCATTCCGTTTTGTATGCTATGTAGTGTAGAGGTAATCAGAGTGCATTACTGCAAGTTACAGACACTTGGCTCTAATTGCCGTAACCATCTGGCGTCTTACCACGATTTCTTAACGTGATTCAATTGCAGTGATCAAATCGGATTTGATTTTATTAACGTTTAGATGCTTAGAATTGTCTTGTTTTAAGACTGATCATAAAGATATCAGACAAATATAAGTAAAATATATGATTATCAGAAGAAATTGAATTAGCTGTTCAAATTCTTCTAATTATAGACTTCTTAGAGGTTCTATTTCGGAATTTTACATCATAATGTTGGTTTTCATTCTTTTTTTAACGGCTTTATGTCGTTTACGGACTCCCCTTGTTCATTAGAATACAATTACTATTATGTAACTATTGTGTAATTATTACATTAAAATATATTTTAATATTCGATATGTAATGTCATATGGTTATCTCAGTTTATGTTAATGTAATTAACATGAATTCTTGCATGTATTACAAACCTTAGTGGTTTACATGATGCAAGTAAACCAACTTATGTAAACTTAAACTGCATTGATAATTGAATTAAAAAAACAACTATGATTTATTTTCTAACTCCTCATTATAGATTAAAGTTTATTTGTGTCTTATTGCTTTGTTCATAATCAATTTAAAATTTTGTTAAAGTTGCCTTCTTAACGAACGCGTTTGTGTCGTATTAAAAGGTATGTCCCCTGTGCGAGATCTCGACATAGTGATGCTCTGATGTCATATACACATGCGACATACTTTAGTCTGAGCAAACATTGTGTAAACGGGACGTAATTTTTTTGTTGAATAAGCAGACAGGAGATATAATTTATAGTAGAACTTAATGTTGTAAGTGTAAGCAACTGAAAAGTTTTTGAGAAAGTGTATATGTACATACGTATCGACATGAGTTCTAGACGTATTTACATTTTTTTTGCGTTTACAATCCTGTCGTTAGTATAGATGAGGTTCAGTTGGAAGTTTTGACATATTTAAATCTTTAATTCATCGTAAGGTTTTTAATTAGTTATGTATATACCTTAGCCAACGCATCCTATTCTAGTCTACATACCATTCAAGGTACGTTTCAATGAAAGAAAACCTTTATTACCTTTTGCGGTGTGTTTTTATTTAATTGAACCTCTATGCTGTTACAACGCTGTGCTCGACGGCGAGTTCGGTGCTGATTTTGTTACAGTATACTTTAATTATGTCATTATAATTATTTATTTACTTCTGTGTACGTTTTTAATGTATGTTTAGTAGCATTTTATGGTGTTGTAGCATTTTCAATAAAGTGAAATAAATATTCTGTATTATCTAAATATATATACTTGAGGTTTTTTATAATTTTTATGTAACTATCGCATTTCAATGGATTATCAATGCAAGTGGCCATTGTACTATCCTACCTACGTAAAGTCCAATATTATTAGTGCAATATCTTACTCACAACAGATCAATAATATTGGACTTGAGATGGATAATACAATGGCAAATGCAAGTAGTTGAAATTACATAAGGTAAACAGCAGAATTGGCATGCTGACATAATGCATGATTTAAGCAGAGCTATCCAACCACCGGACCTATATTTTTAAAATTCATTACGACTGGACCTACCTAATAAAATCCGCTGCGGGTTGCCCTCAGTAGGGGAAGGCAACTCTTATAAAGTACTTCGAACGTCAACATCAACCTGAATTTAATATCGAGGAAGTGATCTCATGACTGTTCTATAAAGCATGAGTGTGCAGTCATCCGCCCCGTGTAAATAAATGCCTAGCCTTAACGGTTAAAGTGGTATACAACGGAACTAACAACTATGGCACAATGATAATTATGCATTTGAAGTATTTCCGCCATTTTAAGCCACTATGTGGTTATGTGAAATTAGAAAACACGTTTGCGTCAGATCTTTATTATATTTTGATTGTTTTTGTACCAAATTATCATATAACAATAATGTTACTCTCTTATTCGTTTTGCCAATGAAATTGAAACCGTTTATTTATAATTTGAAAATATTATTAAAACCAGGTGACTTGTCTATCTAATATTAACATAAAAAAGTTAAAAGCTGGATATGCTTCGTTTTTTTAAATAAGATACATAACATAACTAGTTGCAGGTACTCAATTTTTATACCTATTTCCACATGATTTAGACATTCTGATTAAGTTTGAAAAAAGGAACACAATATTTTTTATAACCTAGAACGTTTTTATTAATCAGAACCCAACAAGAACCTGTCAAACATTTTTATTGCAAATACCCTATCTTGTGTTAGTAAGTGTTATTGTGCAGCAAAGTAAAGCACGCCGCAAGCGCACGGTGAATGCACTACGCTGACCCTCCGCTATTGTGTTGTAGTACTGTACCGATAGCAAATTAAATTACGTATACGTCTTAATAATAAAGTAAAAAAAAAATTTTTAATTATGTTAAAAATATCAATTTCAACTTAATAAAAAATATAAAAGTGACACTCTTTTAAATTGGTATATTATTTTATTTAATTTTCGTGGTTTATTCGCCTATTTAGTTACTTTTATAAAATAAATGATGCATATAAATATTAGATATTATCACACACGTATATTATTGGAATCACAAACTATTTTTATGATATAAATCAAAAGGAACAAAGAGAAGAAAACTCATTTTATAGCTAATCGAATATAGATCGAGCCTGATAGCTAAATTAGTGCAAAACTTGCTGCCACTCTTTGTGCTATGTAATCTTATAAAAAAACAAGAATATATTTCAGATTCTCACTAATACCAAGAATAATAAATATACTCAAACATAAAAAGCAATAGAATGCAATAAATTGTTATTTTTTTATTAATTGTTATGCTGACTGTACTCTGCAAAGCAATCTGGCGCATTCCTCCTAGGAAAGCAATTCGTCTGGAATAGCACGTAACTACATATTGACCAACACTGCTAGTTATTATTTATTGGACATTTAGTCCATACTTTTGTGTTGCAGACGTTACTCTCATAAGTAATCTAGTGCATTTTTCTTAATACTTCATTGGTAATGTTATCTTAATATTATCGCATTATAGTATAACTTCCTACTCATTGTACACACGGCTGCACGTAAGAAAATCAAGTCTGTTTGACTACAAACAAATATTCGGAAAATTTTAAATCTTTTTTATAATTTTGTTATATCCGCAAAGATTAACTGTGCGTCTGTGGTGCGACCGCCTAATTCTCAAGCCTTATTCCATAGCCATAGGAATATTTCGTTTAATTTTACTACTTTGACATGTACTTTAATAACAATGAACGAATAACAAAGAATTATGATTACGGATTTGATGGCAGAATTACCAACTAAGTCATTTATCCTAAAATTATCCACCAAAAGACCTGTAAAAATAGTAACATGATAGGAAATATCTATATTTTTAAAATCGGTCAAGTAGTTTGAGAGCCTATTTGTTGCAAACAAACAATCAAATGTTTCGTCTTTAAAATATTAGTATAGATATAGATTAAACATCTTTACAAGCTTCTATTTATCTTGGCATGTCAGTTAGTCGGTCAAATCTTTCAAGCTAAAGGATCCGCTTCCTAATTTGACCCATTGGGCTAAATGTACATACACATATAACTTGGATCCATCACCAGCCCTTTTACGTCCCCACTGCAGGGGCTCAGGCCTTCCTTATGGATGGTTAAGGAGGATGGGCCATGACCCTCCACGCTGGCCCAATGCGGATTGGAGGGTATTGACGACTGCAAATGCAGCCGGGACCAATGGCTTAACGTGCCTTCCGAAGCACGGAGTAGCTCGAGATAATAATTTTTTGGTCACCCATCCCGTGACCGACCCTTGCGAAAGTTGCTTAATGACTACGATCGCGGGCCGCGGCGCTTATCCACTACGCCACCGAGCTACTCGACTTGGATCACTTGATATGAAATAGAGCTGATTTGATAATAGAGCCGCAAGGTTACCACGAGACCTTTGTAATTAAGAAATGCAATCCAATCGAGTTTGGTACGTTTCATTTGTCTCGACAAAGACTTTATCAGAGATAATATCCAGTCACTTATGATGGGAATGGTAAGGTGGAATTAAATAGGGCAACCCTTTTTGTTTATATGACATATCGGGGGCCTAATCTAATTTTAAAATTTATTTCACATCCTTTCACTATCCTATATTTGTGCAATAAAGAATATAA